ATAAAAATATAATTATAATATAGTAATAAAAATTCCATGTTGAGTTTTTTTATTTGATCCACTGATTTAACTTAAAATAGTGTAACGTATATTTCACCAAAATGTTATATCTTAAAAATTTGAGCTCCTAGGCAAAAACTAATGCCATATTTGAATTCAGGGCATCAAATTCATATGAAATCAGCTCCAAATACCCCGGCACCAAAACAGCTGTTGGCCTGTGTTATTTGTCACGGAACCCGGGACACGTGACAATATTTACACAGAGTATTAGTTACATATGAAAGATAACATGAACTTACTTCTGAAATGGTGATGATACTGTTCATTATTGCTTACATTTATTATGGTCAGAATGAAGAAAACTAATTATTACAAACAGCAAGTGTATTTATACTTTGACAGACGTATGCTTCCATTTGCAATCTAGTAACTCTTAAATTCATTTCATTTCCTTCAAGTTCATTTTTTCCAAAAATCTACCTGATATCTTAATTGCCTGCTTTGTGATAGAATTCCATTTCATACAATGATAAGCTTATATTTCATATATAGAGTGTGACTGGAAGGTGCAGAAAAATTTTGGCCATGACTTCCACATACCAAACAAGAAAATCCATCCCTATCAACATCTGCCCCGAAATATTTAATTTTTGAGTTACAGCAGAAAGTGTATACTTATAAAAAGTGCTAAAATGTCCTTCATCAGATTCAATGCATCCCTTCACATGTCTGATCGTGGACCACGACATCCATGAAGGATGATGGGTTAGTTACAGACAGTCTGACAGGAAGTAACTCTTCATTGCAAACAGGAGCTGCATACACAAGGGTTTTTAGGTGTCCCCACACATAATTCAGTGGATTCATATCTGGCAAGCACAGAAACCATTCACTGGGTCCTCCTTTACCTATCCATCGGTAATGGAGGCGTTATCTGGTACAGCATGTATAAAATGTGCCAGGGCATCATCACACACATAACACATTTGTACTCTGACGGCCAGTGGTACATTTGCCAGTAGCTTTAGCACATCAAGGTTGCCTGTAACCCAATTTGGTTAAACATATTGGTCTACCAAACAATCACCAACAAGGACATTTTCAGCATTATAAAGGTACTCTTTCAGGTATAACTCACAAATTAAATTTTTTCAGACACACGTCGATGTGGACATTTTTGTTTGTTTTGATATGTGGAACTGGAGCCCGAAGTTTGTCCGCAACTTTCTAGCAAGATAAAGCAGATGGAACACAATGTGGCCACAAAAATGTCACAAAATGTAGCTTGTTACTCACTTCAGTCCAGCAACAATCTCCATGGCACCATTAAAGTTTCCAATGTTCCAACATGATAGTGCCACTCGAAGGATACAAGACAGGACGGCTTTGCGGTCCTCATGGGTGGGTTGTGTGATGATGAGGTGGGTTACCCATGAGCTGACCTACACAAAGGAGTACTATCGTATTATCATACAAAACTTCATGTATCAATGTCTGTGACAGCTCATATGAATTTCCATTGTTCCTGTACTCTCCAGCCTCCAGACAACACTCCACGGTAACGCTGCTTTCATACTTTTCATTCAATTCACTGCAATTCATTTCATTTCAGTTAAAAGTAACTGACAATACCTGTCCCTATGTCCAAGCACCAGGCCAAGAAGGCATTTGAGGGGAAATGGTGGAAAAGGTCCTGTACTGTTAATCTTGGCAATTCAACTAGCTTACTCTCACAGAAACAGCTATCTATGGGTGGGCCAGCTTCTGGTATTTGTAGTGCACGAATATTTACAGGCCGTTCTGCCCAGGCTGTTTCCTGGGCCCCCACTGTAATAATACAATCTTGCTTGGTAAGGGCTTTACCTAGCTTCCCCCTATCCTTAATTTAAGCAATGAAATTATTTAATTTATTCTTTTGCAAGCAGACTGAAATGCTGATTCACTGATACGATAGGCATATACTGAGCTTTTTCTGTGACTTCAGATGTTCAAATATAATGTAGATTTGGGTACTGAATCTACTTCCGGTTGCAGATAAACAGCAGTCCATGTCAAGGGATATTCCTTGAGAAGTTTATAATTATACAACTGCATGAGAAATTCTCCATTGAGGAACTTGTCCTTTACTCTATGTCTGTATTTACCAAGGGGTCTCTTCAATTTCAATTTCAATTTCTCTCAACGAAAATATTACATGCATGGTTTTCATATGCATGCCACATGTCCAACTATCTCATAGTTCTTGATTTAATCATCCTTAAGTGAAGCATAAAATGTCAAGCTTTCCATTGCATAAGTTTCTTACGATTTCCACATTCTGCTGTTCCTTAATTCAGTTCAGTTCATAATATCTGTCTCAGCACTTCAGTTGTGCCCCCCTCAAACGAGATTAATTAATGAGTCAACAAAAGGATGATCCTAAGATGGGTCTTACAAGCACAGGGTGCGAAAATGGGCACTAGATTTCCCGGTTCACGACAGGGTCCTGTAGCCAGCTCTTGCGTATAGGACAGTGCACCTTCTGGTTCAAAAAAGTAAGTAATTACTTGAATGATTCAATCTTCTGGAATTTAACGTCATGTAGCCCACTGAAAGTCGGCACTGAAGATGGAGGCGACATAATCCACCAAATCTTAGGTTAACAGTCGACAGAATACATAGCATTATATTCCAGAAGCTGGAACTATTCATACCCACAGCCATGAGAACATCAAATCCTACAATATCTTGCATACATACACAGCTAATAGTTATGAAGAAGGACACTAATTCATTATTTAGTCATTAATTGAACATAATGATTTCCTGGTGCATCAAGATTGCATTGGTCTCTAAGAAAGTATATCTAATGTATGTATGTATGCATCATTTTCTACCTCATTGAAGCGTTTGATGAGGCTGCGGACTGAAGGCCTTGCAGTTGATGCAGAGGCAGAGGTGGCGCTCTCGGTGGCCGGTTGGTGTTGATGATCAGATGGACCAGGTCCTGGTGCAGGAGTGGGAACATCACCAGTACCACCACCAAGGTCTAGTGTCACTTGACGTAAATAATCTATAGGTGGGACCTGGTAGAACAGATGATATTCTGTGTCGGCCAGTCGCAGCGCCACCTCCTCTGGGAAGTGAAGCAGTTTCTGCAGGGCCTCAAGCTCCTCTGAGTGCGCCACCTGCAGGGTCAGCAGCGACCGCTTCACCAGCTCTGGAACACCCCGGGCATGGCATCGCAACCACCTCCATACATAAAGCAGTGGTTCTTTGGGTCACATACCCCTGTTGAAAATGTTTTGTATGCCCTCCTGATGATTATTATAAAATAAAATACTTGGTAAATTATTTAAAATTTACTAGAGCATTAAACCAAGTGAAATACAAGAATTAGAGTTGCTATTATAATTACTTTACTACATATTTTATAAAGGGTTGCAGACAATCCAACAGCATTCATAATGTTATTACTTCTAAAATGTAAAACACCGTATCTCTTATTGCGTTCTATTGTTTTTAGAAGGGGTATGATGTCTCACTGTAAAACATTCAGCACAGAATGTGAAAGCTAAAGTATTCATAGCTACTATCAGTCAACTCCATGTGAATCACATTTTAAATTTCTTAAGATACCGAAATATAGTGTACTATGTATATCTGTGATCACAATATGTAAAACAATGAAGTCCAGTAATGAAAATCAAGGCTCTGATTAATTTTATCAAAATGTACAAATGTGATGGAGTGTTTTTGTCACAAAGGAGTGAAAATGATAGGAAATTATATTGTCTTCAACCCTAGAGGGTAGTTCATTTTTAACACTAGGTTGGACCTCTTAAATCCAGCATCATGCCATCTGGCACCGGTTTAGTTTGTCAGACAGCCCCTAAGTATGGCTCAAATACTCAACAAGCAGTTGTGGCATTAGTAATGCCTGAAAGCAAAAACATTATCCCTTGTTGCTTGTACCTGTACCTTAAAACTGTATGACAACACTAACAGATTATGTTACAATGAGTTTTGGTAGCATAACATATGGGACATCCATGGATTGAAAAATTTTCTGGTCCAACTCTGATGTGGTCCCAAGGGTACCAGATCTGAGAGATCAGACCTGTATTAGTATCAGTGATTTGGAAGTTAGTGGTTTTAAACACTGGAGAAGGGCAGTAATTCTTTGGGAAAATTCATAGTGAGAACAGTATCCTGCAGAAGGTTTTCAAAATAGAAATTATATTTATTAGCTTGTGGATCCAGCAAAAGGATTTAGAAACACAAAGCACGCTTACTTTCTTGTCTGGGAGAATTTTCTATATGATAACAGTATCCAACAAAAGGATTTAAAATGGTAGAAATGTTTATTTGCTTGCTTAAAAAAGTTTTATTTATTCCATCCAAGTAGGTGTAGTTATCATGATGTCTCTACAAGTGTAACCTAATTTAAATAAACTGTTACACTTCTTGGTCTGGAGATAGGGGCTAGCTCTCTCAATTGGACCCAACTGAGTAGATTTTGCCTGAGGACAGGGACAGAATCCAGTCCCTGAAACGTTGTGTTTTTAAAAAAAGAAACAGGATGGTTTTTAAGAACAGACAAGATGATGGATAATGTCCAACAACATATTAATTGTAACAATTTACCATCGTCACAAACTTTCAGATCTTATTTGTTACACTTCTGCTTACTCAGCTGCTAAGAACCCTACAGAGCTAGGAAAGCCCAACCAAGGTCCCTGTCTATCCTGTCTATGATGAAATATGTGACTGTGACAGGTCCCAAAAACAAGCACAGCCCTGTATAAATTCCATACAGAAGCTCAGGCAATTATAAGATTATTTCATTTAAAATTTTATAAGACTTTTAGTCAGAGGCTTTCATAATTATTTGTTTTGCTTGCTAAAGTGCCAGTATGTACATAGCATTGTAGTTAAATGGTCATGTGCCTGCTGTTCTCTGTTTGTACACGTACACTCATATGCCCATTAGAAGAGACTGGCTTTCAAGAAACTCAGGAGAGAAATCTCCCCAGTACTGTATCCATTTAGAATCCTTATATCTAATGAGTCCATTATTATGCCTGCGAAAATCCTCAGAGGCCTAAACTACACTGACAGACCGTGAAAATTTATAATTTCTTTTTTTAAATGTTGAGGAATATGTGTGATGTACAGAACTACCATGTTTATTTTGGACTCTATCCATCATCTGGTATATAGATGACAAGTGGCCCAGTGATTGAGACTAGCTCTTTCTAACAGGTCCAACTGAGTAGGTTTATCCTGCCCCATCCACTTAAGGACGGGGACAGATCCATTCTCCGAAACGTTGTTTTTTCTTTTTTGTCTTCTATATACCAGACAATGGATAGTCCAAAATAAGCCTTGTAGTTCTGTACAGTATACACCATCAGAATCCTTTCACGTCAATATGTGAGATGTTTATGAACTAAGATTGAAACTAATGCATCAATGTGAAATCTGGAATGATTTTAGAATGCAGCTCTCTAAAAATTGTGTATCAGACATGTAATTTATTCTGTTGAAAACTACCAAGAAGATGAAATGACTGGTGAAGTTTATATCTTTCAAAACCAATAACATCCCATACATGTACACTATTTTGTAACCCTAGGTTACACTCATGTGGTATGTGACAGATATTTTTGTTTACTTTTATGTTTAATTAAAGTTCTCCCATTCTATGGGTAGACTAAACCCACTTCGCTAATTCTAATTATTTGCTAAAGAGACACTGCTACATATATCTTTAAAAATTAATATTGCTCTAAATTTAAATCTAATGTGGACACCTTTACAAGACCTGAGTATCAGACTGCCTTCATTCAAACAGTTTGTGAAACTATTTCATATATTTCAAGAAATATGCTGTATTTTTTTTTTTTTTCATTTTATTTCAGCTGATGGAAAAAAATGTGATAATAAGTCCACTGAATTACACATTTCAAAATAACTTTCCAATCCATGTGGCTTTCACTAATATATATATATATATATATTTTTTATCCCACACAAGGTACAAGAACATGAGAGAATTCATTAAGAGGATCTACATGCACTTTCAACAAAACCTTTCTACAAGAAAGGGAAAACACATTTCATATTTAATACAAGACCTACTTTGAATCCACAGTGCAACTAAATACATAAATACAATATTGTAAATTACTGCAGAGGAATATACAGCAAAACCTCCATTTAAGACTTCTCTTGGGAGAAATGAATTTGGATAGAAAACTGAAGAAAATTGAAGAAAATCTTAAATGGAGGGCGCTTAACAATGAGATGGTCAATATTGGATCCTCTAAATTGAGCTTTACATGAAGAAAAACCTTAAACTGAGGAACATTATATGGGGGTTCCACAGTATGCAGGTTGACATCAGTTTAATTTGGGGGTTCCAGAGTTTTTATTTCAGAATTTAGGATATAATGTTTTGGTGAAATGAAAGACAAAGAGAAACATTACATTTTACCAGCAGAATTAGTAGTAATGTTTAAACAAATATTTATAACTATTAGTAATTACTAAACCACATTCATATGAGGTAAAAATGCTTCTTTTGATGTGTGCACTGCCAAAATACTGTTGAAAGACTTCACAGTAGTTGGTTCCTCTCTTGCCTAGAATGGATAATTATGAAGAAGAAAATGCCAACATTTGTATTATATTCAAAAGAAAAGGAAGAAGTGTGTGACTTACAGAGCAGTTCATTCGAATTCTTTTTCAGATTAATAGAGTAGATATCTGTGAGGTTAGGTGACCAAAATACCTCGAATCGAATCGAATTTATTTACATTCCGTAAATCCTGTCATACACTAACGATTGCTTCTATTTTCAAGACAATTTATCAATGCGTTTCATATATAGAAACATTATGCATTATGACAGGCTGTATAAATGGTACGTTTGGATACCCTAGTAAATTTTTCTTAATCATTGGTATAAATACAAAAGTTCTTGTGTATCTCTTCCTGACCTTTGTAACTCTGAGGGGTATGTGTACCAGTTTGAGAACCACTGATGTACCGCATCACAGTTCTGTGCAGCCACAATCTAGTGGCATCAGAAGTGATCTTGCAAAACACACAAGAAGGGGAAGGACATGCAATTCAACTGCTGTACATCAGCTTGAAGCATCTGGTCGGGAACCACATGCACTTCTAACCATGGTCAACAGCACAGAACAAGAATAACTTCATACATGAGTCCAATTGCCACCAGAAAACAATGACTAACAAATTATTAGAATATCCCCTACCACCCTGTCTGTTTACGGTGCATTTATGTTAGCAACTAAAAATTCAAACCTGAGTATAAATGATGCTAGTTCTAGTACACGGTTGAAAGACTGTGTTATAGCCTGCCTCTCATTCTTTGTGCAGTCACATGTTATTATGAAATGTAGTCAAAACCCTGATGCTGAGTAATGAGGCTCTGACTCACTCTTAATAACAACATAAAGGTATTATTACAGTGCTGTTAGTAAAATACTGACTACAGGCCAGATAGCTCAAGCAAAGATTGTCTAAAGAGGCGTTTCCATTCTTCTCTGCAATGTGATGTCATATAGCCCATCCAACCTCCCATTCAATGGGTACCTAGAGCTCCTTCCAGGAACAATAAAGCAGTCAGAGTAAGATCTGTATTTAATACAAAGAGCCCGAATCTACGACGTTTTACTCGTAAGCCCCATATATTCTTTCATTATACCTCACAATTAAGCATAAGGAAATTTCTGTCAATTTACTCTTCAACCCATTCACTGTGAATGAGAATGAACACATTTGTAGGCAATTTTCACCTGAGATTTTACCACACTGCACAGTCCCACTCATAACACAGACTTCAAGCGCTTGATCCATAACACTAAGGGCTTAACAGTTACAAAGTACTGCTAAGAAAGGGTTTATATGACTCCCTCTTCCACAGCCTTCCAGCTCTTTGTAGCTCAGAGAGCTTGTCTATTCCAGTTCAAAAACAGATAGCATAGTTATCAAAAGACCATTCCCATATTTCTGTCAAAAATTAAACAATTTCCAGAGTTAAGTATACGGCATGAATTTGGCTACAATGTATCCCCTTGTGAGTACACGGTTATCGACCTCGTCTTATTGTGGTAGACCCCATTCTGGCTCATTAAGTTCTATTAATTGAATCACGATGGTATGACTGTTACACAATATGCAGCTGAAATTCTGTGCATAGGTAGAAAGGTGTCGACATCCTGTGAAAGACTGGTAACATATCCACTAACACTGGCAGGGATCTGGAGAGAGCCAGTGAACACAACGTTAATTAAGTAAGCAGTAAGACTAGTGTGCTTGTAAGAGTCGATAATGCAGCGTATGTAAATCAGCGTTGGCGCTGTAATTTAAGTGTAATTAAGAGAGAGTGTAACCAAGCGCTAATATACCCAATCATCCGAACTACAACCTATCATTTCGTCACGCGTACCCCTGTACACGTGACAATATAAAACCATTTGGGGATCCTACGGAATGCGAGAACATGGCTGGCACACTTCGTCACTTCTACTGAAACAACTTGACAACTAAAGCTGTGCTGTGCATTTCTCTCCTGAATATCGTCAAGACCCACATATGCAACAGATATTGCTAATACAAATGCACCAACTCTGCTGGCCATGATTAATGCTTATGCATTTCAATTTACTTGAAATGGTGAAAGATCACAGTGAACCATTCTACACCATCATATAAACTTTATTTTTATTATTCAATTTTCAACATTTCAAAAGGAGGAAAATGTGCATGTATCCTTCTGTCCCTACTTGGGTAAGAGGAAAAAAAAATACGGGAGGTGGGGCCAAAGACTTTGGCCAGCTTCGTTAAACTGGTGATCCAGAGCAGTGACATTCTGTGTACAAATCCTTAAGAGCACTTTTCACAGAATATATACAAATCTGTTTACCTGGTCTCCAATGCTACAGCCTATATTCTGTTGCATTTAGAATACACAAATTTTATACACATTTTAGCTCAAAAGAACTGTAAAAGAATTGGGTTTATTATACATAGTATTTTATAGCGTGTAATAGGAACATCATGCAGCAGTGTATATCATACCAATTCATACCAATGTCACCTTCATGAAACAGTCACTGATATCAGACATCTTTGATACCTTCTCTGAAGAAAATCAGGGCATATTATTAGACTTTACTAGGACAATAAAAAGAATGTTAAGGGAAATTCACAAATCTGGATCAAGCATGCAACATATGTTACTCTTAAAGTGTTAGCATAATAAAGATTTTGCAGTGAAGGCTGCAATATTGGGAACTGGAGACACTCTTTCCAAAAATAATAATTCTGAAGAAAATAACATTCTGAGAAAGGGAGAAAAGCTTCTGCAATAATGTACAAATATATGCACTCAACAGTCACAGAAAAAAAAAATATATTATATTACCTAAGAAACTGCTTGGATATTGCTGTTTAAACATAATCCATGCAAGAGAGTTGCATTTTTTGACAGGGCTAAAAACATTCTCCATTTTCCTTTCTATTATAGGTACAATCAAAATACCCTGCTTTCATAATCAGAGGATACTAGAGAAAAATGGATATAAATCTGAAGTGTAGAATTTCATCCCTCCTCCCCGCCTTTTCTCTCTCTCTCTCCCCTTCTCTGTGTACCATGATAATTTTTTATTCTTTCCTGTTTAGGCAGGCACAGTTCAGCTTGGCTTCTCTTGGATTTGTATACTTTGGTTCTGTTAGGTTAGATCACCTCACCTCTGCTTAGGTCCACGCAGACTGTATTTGACACTTTCAAAATATAATATAAATATACTATATAAAGAAAATAACTTATTGTTGCTACCAAAATTTCTCTTTAGTACATTGTCTGTTGCACGTTATTTGACCTGAATGCGGCATGTCATTTGAACAAGATAGCTGTTCCAGTGTAATACATAAGTCAGCACTAACAGTTCACACAGTGTTACAATATTAATAGTGAATTTCTTCCTTTTAAAATAAACTATGGTACGCCAAAAAGACCTGCAATCGTTTCAGTACCAGAGTAAAACTCTGTACTATTTTAAGTAAGAAATAACATGAACAAGGACAACTGAACAGGCACAATGTGACACTGTGATACTGTGCCAGTATTTTATTTCTTGAATATCTTCTACTGAAAGGCTAAAGGAGGCATGAGATTTAAACTGGTTATAATCTGAATAAAAGTGCAATGCTTTCTTGAGCAATTACCACAACTTGTTCCATTAAATTAAATATGCAATGCAATGAATCATGCAATGAACCTATCGTGGCATGAAGTGAAATTATCATGGTATTGTATTTAAGCATTACGCTGCACCAGATTTAATCAACTGAGACACACGAACAAACACAAACACACACACACACACACAATACAGTTTTCAATTCAGCTTCATCAGTCACTAGATGAAATGACCTCTCATATAACATGTTCTGGCAGCACAGGATCATCATAAAATACATACGATGATCTACATAAATTCTCACATTGTAATATACATGTTATTATCAGGGCAATGAGGGCTGTACATCTAAAAATGTATTGCTTGACAAACTTCTGGTACCTTTCAAAATTATTTTGTGACATGTTTTTAAAACCTTTAAAATTGTGTGAACAGGTCTTATGCAACATGACACTCCTGTCATGTTCTGCTTTCTGTTTACACTGGAGGTGTGTGTCTCATGCATGGTGGCCTGGCTACCTGCAAAGTGCCAAGACAGATGCTACATACTGAATGCTTCTTACATTTTTCTTATTCACTGTTCAATCAGCTAAACAAGATTTTGATAGATAGGAGATGGCATTCAAGTGTCCTGATGTCTGATCCTTCAGGGAAGCAGACTGTACTGACCACTACCTGGTGCCAAAATAGTTAGGGAAAGACTGGCGGTGATTAACAAACAACACACAGATTTCACTTGGAGACATTCAATCCTAATTAAATGATACATAGAGTAAAGAGCAGTACCGCATTGAAATCTGAAATAGGTTCCCAGTTTTGGAAAACTTAAAAGCTGATGTGCATATTAACAGAGCTTGGGAAAATATTAGGGAAAAAATAAAAATTTCAGCCAAAGACAGTCTAGATTAGTATTGACTGAAGAAGCATAAACCATGGTTGGATGCTCAAAATCGTTTGATCAAAGGAAACACGCCAAACTGCAGTTGTTATGGGATCCAAGTGAAATAAATTTGGGATAATCTGAACAGAACAAGACGTGAAGCGTCAGCCATTTCAGGAATAAGAAGATGGAATATCTCTAATACAAAATAAGTGAGCCTGTAACGAACAGTAAGAACAACTGGAGATCTGTATAGAGGAATAAACGAATTTAAGAGGGGTTAAAACTTAGAAGTAACTTAGTGAAAAGACCGCGCCATAGCTCAAGCGGTTAGTCGCTGGCTTTCCACAGCAGCGGCCCGGGTTCGATCCCGGGTCTGGTCAAGTTGGATTTGTGGTGGACAAAGTGGCGCTGGGGCAGGTTTCCTCCGAGTACTTCGGTTTCCCCTGCCAATCTTCATTCCACCAACTGCTCCACAATCACCCTCACCCATCATCTGGGGCTGGTACAATAGGCCAGAAGTGGCCGCAGTACAAGGGACTTAGTCCCACCCCACCGGCAACAAAAAACTGCAGCGCTTGCACAATAGAATTCTCCCATGCTACTGACCACCTTGACGGTGGCAAACCGGTTCGAGATTTGCACGTGGTGTTCAAAAATCCGTACGTTTTATTACATAACTAATTACGCAGAAGACGGGCAGAAATCAACCTAAATCATGAAAATCCAATGTACGTGCAACTGGTAAAGGAGATGCCAGGCATTGAAAGTACACGAGGCTTAAATTTGGTGGTGGTCAGGCCTACGAACGTTTAAGTGTCTAACTGCCGTTTCGGAGGGTTTAAATAAGTTGAGGCATAACCTTCTGTAGAAGTCTGCATTGACACAGTCTCTGTATATATCAGAATACAGTGAAAAATTGTGTATTTTGTATGTAATGCATACATTCCCCTTCTTAGTCACTCTACGTGTAATCTAACCCCCGGGTGAAGATGGTGAAGTAAGTACAACACCTACTTAGGAAGACCAACCTCTCCTTTCTTCGAAGTGGAGGTTCAATAAAATTAACGTAGTGGTTTTAGACATGAATAAATAGATGACACTGGGTGTCTACGGGGCCCTACATCACTACCGACCTGCTGGCTTTTTGTCAGTAGCCAGCTGCTGCTCTGCGAGTTCGCAGTCCACACACACATGTTGACGAACGGAACACACACAAGCATATATATAATGACATAGCTCATGCGCTAAATAAAAAAAAAAAGACATAAAACTATAACATACCACATTGCAGGTAACCAGCCCACCATCCAAAAAACACTTACCTCCACGGTAAACAGAAAGCCGGTCACATGAAAAGTGCAATGGTACATGTACAATTTTTTACATCGTGTTAGAAGTTTAAAAAACATTTTGCATATTAAATTTAAACGGCACCAAAAATTGGTTAAATAAGAAACTGTTTAGACATATAGCCCCCCACCCCCCGCCTCTGAGGATTTTAATTCCCTTTTAGCGCCAACCGACTGCGCCCACGTGTGAAATCGAGAGCCATTGGTCCAATTGCGAGCAAGTTACCTCTACACCACCGAGGAAGGCTATGAACCAAAAATATTGTTACGGAATGCAGGTTAAGGCATGGGTCCTCCATAACACGACGATCAATGAGCGGCGAATGAAGACGCTAAGAATACTGCACGAAGGCTGCCACAGATTTTGTTCATTCCACATTCAAGTGCTTCCTCGCGAGAAGGCGAATGCCTCCTAGCAACCCACCGTGCTACCGGTAACGCTGTATTTAATTTACTTCATCTCAACCTAGTTTCATTAGGTTATGAAACTTCCGTGTGCTTACAGGGTGCCACTGAGGGATATACACCATAACCTATATGTTATAACAGAGAGATATGTTAGTGATCTGACTTTGCATTCATTTGGAGGACTTTCTTACCTTGTTGGCCGAATCGTCGAAGGAGGGCGTGCTCCTCCAGAAAGTGGGAGTCGAGCTCCTGGAGGATCTCCCATAGGGCCAAACCCACCTCGCGCATTGCGGCCACAGTGGGCACAACCAGCGACCAGCGCGTAGCCCTGAACTCCAGTTGCAATCTGTCATGGGAACGCCCGCCACAAGTGCGCCACTGCAACATAGTTCCGTCATTCGGCGCTACATAACGTAAACATTCAATACAGACTGATGAAAATAAGTAACAAACAGTTATCAGTAAGGATATTCAAGTTAAATATAGGTATATCCGTGCCGGCAGAACAGCGAAGATATTCACCCAAGGCATAGGTTATTAGGTTATTAGGGCCCATATGAGCTCTCCACCATAAAATTCCCCACAAATTCGCATCTTATTGGTTAGACCAGGTTGGTCGTTCAGCTTGCGTCCTGGAATTTGCACCAGAATTTGCACTTACTCTCTTCATACGTTTGAAATTGTATGCTGATCGCAGAGAAGTGCATCAGCACATGTGAAGTTCGCATGAAAATTTTGTGAAAGTTTAAAGTCATACTTAAACTAGGGACTCATTTATTTTGGTGCAGTCGCTTTCAGAGTTTCCTTAATATCTACGTACATATGTAGGCTGACACATCACCAAAGGCATGGCTGCTGTCTCTCATACCTGCATCAACCGTCATCGAAACCTCTCCATTAAGCCACGGGGTGTGGACAGAAAGTTCCAGAAATCATTTTGTAAGTTCAAATACAAGAAATTAATTGCAGTTGTATCTTAGTAGCTCCCTTTGGCAAATACTCCCAAAGTCTTTTTTTTTCTGTCACATTATTGATTAATTATCGTACCATTTGACACTCCAGTTTTTTTTAATTCGCTTAGTGTGGGGTTGAGTCCAGCTGGGTCCACTCGGCACGGCGGCCACTGATTGGCCTATTGTAGCCTGCCCCGGGTGATTATTATGATGGAGAATTTGGTTGAATGAAGATTGGCAGGGGAAACAGAAGTACTCGGAGAAAACCTGCCCCAGCGTCACTTTATCCACCACAAATCCCATTTGACCAGACCCGGGATCGAACCCGAGCCGCCGCGGTGGGAAGCCAGCGACTAACCGCTTGAGCTAAGGCGCGGCCTCATTCTCACTGTAACATGGAGTCTTCTTTTCCCAGCCGAATTCCTCTTTTGCCATTTCTTCTCAATCACATTTCACTGCCATCTCCAGAACTCAACCCAATTCCCATTCTACCTGCGTGATACCTTCGTTATATAGCCTCGGTGCGGACACCACGGAGAACATCACTGTTAAGGAGCGTGTTTGCAGCTCCGCTGCCTAGCAATGGTATACATATCACAATACAAATACACGAGAAACTCCATGGAACATTCAAAAAGAAAAGCGAATGGTTAAACTCTTCAGTCAATTACATGGCTTCATTTAATAAGCTGGGTTAAATTACTTCATGATGTGTTGCGCAGAGTACGACAGTATGCCATAGTTTCAAACGGTACTTTACATTTGGCGTCCCTCCCCTGAAGGCCGGGTAAGTAGCCGTCTGCTTGATACATTTCCCGATAAGGGACACGCTGTCACTAACTCAGTGGATGAAAACATACCTGCCACAATGAAAGCCACTAACATACTATTAGATGCTGACCTAAAAGTAAAGAGAAGAAGACAACATGAACTCACGAGTCGCCACCAGAATGCACTGCAGAACACTGCAACGGCAGATAATTAATCTGCTGAAATTATGGCGAAGTTTAGATAACACGGAAGGGCAGTAAGAACTCCAACTCGCATTTTCAAATAAGCATACTGCAGACTACATTTTGCTATCTGAGAACGCAGAGACTGTATTTTACAAAACTACATATATAATAATACTACTTGCCCATCACAGTGGCCGCGCGGGCTAATGCATGAACCGTCTTCACTCGCTCGAAGACTGGGATTGTGGGTTCGAATCCCACTAGAGGCATGGATGTCTGCGTAGGTTTATTCTGAGTGTAGGGCTGATCTCCGCTGCAACGAGTCCTACCGACTGTGTATAGGAGTAAGAAACTGACAAAGTGGCCACAGTCCCAAGGGCTGTAGAGCCACAGAGATAATATGGCCTGGAATTTTCTGTGAGTGTGAAATGTGGTCTGTCACATCATGAGAGGTTCTCACATACTCGTATTTGGGTTTCACAGGGCGGAAATAACGGCAGAACGGAGAGGGGACTGCATAGCTTGTACCTTTCCCTAAGGCAGAGATGACATATGCAAAAAGTTTTATTGTTAAGCCAAAATGGAAACCCTGCGTGTACACAAACATTTCCTAGGCACTAGTAGGGAGGGTGTGGACTGGTCAAGTCTGGCTCAGAACAGGGGCCACTGGCGGGATCTTTAACACGATAGTGGACTTCTGGGTTCCACAGAAGATCAGGAATTTCGTGGTTAGCTGTGCGACTCTTAGTCTTAAAACCTGACTCCGTTGCTTAGGATGATGCAGTTAGTCCGTTTGTTTGTAAGGTTGATCCTAGCTACAACACGATCTTTGGACCTGTGAAGTCTTCAGGTAGAGTCGTGTGTTCGGAGTCTACATAGGTCTACCGCTGCTAATGAAGACTAGCATTTCCCAGTTTGCTGGCTCTAAGAGTGCACGGCGCGCCGTGAGGGAAATATCCTTACTAAGGAATCCTGGGGAGTGATTCCTATGAAAATCAAACAACATGCTCTGGGAGGAAGATAGAGCTTTATGAGCATTAAATTTATTAGAGTCTTACCTGAAGAAGATCAGCTGTGTTCTGAGACTTCGCTAAGATCTTGGTCTTATTATCTAGAAGAACGATTTTCTCGGGCCCCAGTCCCAGTAATCTGGCAGCCTGCAAAATATAACACGAGGGAGTCAATATATGGGTCCCAAATGGATATAACACGTAAAATGTGTGCTTCCGAAACTGGAAATTAACATTTATTTCTCGACATATCCTCCACCAACACTGACATATTTGCCCCAGTCGAAATCCGCAGCATCGAAGTATGTTGGCCGTTGCCGCACTCCGGTGCGATCTCTTCATCAGCGAAATGTTTGCCACCCAGTTGTGAGACGCTTTACGCGACAAACACTTCCCACCGTAAACAGGACACATTCCTTTATCAATATGCTTTGCATTGGGTTCTTTTGCCCATAGAAAAATGCACACCAGAACGCTGCTCTTCGGTAGTATACTCCTCAAGCACTGTCGCAATTTTGACTACTGAAACCAGACTCTGAGCATGAGCAGTCGCGTCTGATACCTAGACTCTATGACGCTTAACTGTGCTGCTACCTAGTGACACACATAGACAATCTATTACTTCCATTATAGCCGTTCTACTTGTATTTGTAACCTATTTACTGACTCTCCCTCGTACAAACATATACTGACAAATTTATGGCAATAACATTTGGATTCGAGAGGGAAGCATGGAGAAAATACAGATCATGAGTAACATTGTCATTTGTACATTTCGTCTGTATTTTTGGCCGTTGATCGGGAGCAGTGCGAAGCGAGACACGCAGAGCTGAATGGGAGCAAACACGTGCATACGAATCTGCTGCAAAACACAGTTTAGATCATTAGGATATTCGCTTGGCGGGGGGTGGAGTCCAACTGGGTCCACTCGGCACTGCGGCCACTGATTCGCCTTTTGTAGCCTGCCCCGGGTGATTATTGTGATGGAGAATTTGGTGGAATGAAGATTGGCAGGGGAAACCGAAGTACTCGGAGAAAACCCGCCCCAGCGCCACTTTGTCCGCCACAAATCCCACTTGACCAGACCCAGGATCGAACCCAGGCCGTCGCGGTGGGAAGCCAGCGACTAACCGCTTGAGCTATGGCGCGGTCTTAGCATTAGGATATATGTGACAGAATAATATTAAAAATACTGAAATAAAATGCGAATATCTGTAACAATTTGCGGATATACCGGCTGTAAAATCTGTAATCAAACTTTTGGTTGATTTGAAATTAGACTATTCATTAGCACTGATATTTGAACTTAGAAACACGGACGGCAAGGAGACTGTAAATTAATGTTATTCCGTAAAAAATTCAGTCAATGTTAAATACACTTCGAGAACATGAAGCAGCAACTATATGTAACGATGCCAACAGAGTAACTGCAGACCGTGTAGGGAATACTGAACTAGCGCCCGCTTCAGAGATCTTACAGGAAGTCTTGCCAACTTTCGTGCTACTAACTTCTGCTTTATCCTGTATTCGAATGAAACATCGAGGCCGAAGTTCAACGCCATATATCATAAACTGTTTTACACCTCACATATCCACATCAAAATATGATCAGTATCGAGAGAACAGACCGGATGCAGTGAAACAAAACTCTGCTCATTCCTTCGTGATTTTCTACATAATTTACGTTTATGGCGCGCTTTAAGGTTCGACAGTTCTTGGTCGTATTTAGCAGTCAACACAACAATAAAAAAAAATAGAAATAAACCAATCAAACTGCTCGCTGCTATACGTTTCGGCCCGCAGATGGGACCATCTCCAGGCAGTCTCATGTCACTGAAGTGTCCCGATATGGATCCATATTACTGCCACGCATTACAATCGCACGGCATATGCAACCGTCATGAAGTTGCAGGAATTTTTCTAATTTTATTTTCTTAAATTTAAAATTCACTTGCCACTGAATGTAAAATTCTCTACTGTTTCTCTGTTTTTGTCCCGCAAAGTACGTTGTTCTTCGCCTGAGTTTGCACGTGTAAGGGGGTTGGTGTGACGAAAATAAGGGGTTCTGGATTTGATGTTTGGATTTACTGACACTTCTTTACAATTACAGTCAATTACGACAGCTCACACCCAGTGACTGTGTAAGGATCGCTCCATTCTTCACTTGACCACGAGTATCTTCTCTTCGTCTGTGACGAAAGACAAACGAATCACTGCTCACACACTGAATTCCTACTGAATGCTGAATTAAGAATCTCTCACTACTGAAATCTCGCGGACTGCGGACTGCACCCAAGTCACCACTTCGAAGAATCCTTCCGCCTGTTGTCACGGGAATCTGTTTTAGCGATTTGCTATTCGTTGTAGCGGGAACGTGGTTACCGAGCCGTTGCTCGGCAACGGATATCTGCCACGATTCCATTATTCGGGCTTTCAGCCGTCATGTCACATTACGTTACACAAGCTATTCGGAGTAGTGCTCGTATTTTTCAGTTTTGTTCTCCCTTAACTTCTTGGGTATGCCGTGAATTTTGTTTCTTTTTCTTTAGAATGTGCTGTGCATTCCTTCTGTGTGGGTGTTTATGTTGTATGTGTTCCTGGGTACAGTGTGCTCGAGTGTTCGTTGCTACGGTAACCCCAAACTGCGTAGGGACAATGATAAAGTTTTGCATTCGCTACGCCGTAAAGACATACGGCGGAGTGGAGGTATGGCTCCAACATTCTTAACATCGGCAGCTAAGTACTTAGCTTCACCCTCCGACCACTTTACCCCCTGTACAAAAGAGCGCCCGGTATCCATTAGATTAGAGGTTGTGTGGACATGTATAATGACATATCAAGTGGGAATCTGGCATCTCACATCAGCAAACGCCATTTTGTGAGAAATGCAACAGTGACACTCAGCTCACCTTCTGGTGAGTAGTGTTTAAGCTCTCATAACTGAACTCTGCAGTCTGTTGCTTGGGTTCTGTTTCGTTTTGCTTTTATCTCGGAAATATTTCAAAAGTGTAACAAATCTTTTATCAGTGACTTCTCTCCTGGGAATTAACACGTGATTGAAAGAAAGAAGACTGAATGGGGTATATTCCGTTATACAGAAGACAAAATCACCAGCTCTGGGTTCAATTAGGCAATAATGAAATGCAAACCGGCACAAGTTCCCATGGAGAATATCAACATCACCGGACAGAAGGAAGCGTCCAGCAGTCAGCCTCGCGCGAAGTGTCCATCAGCAGAGACGAAAACGGGGAAGTCTCCAGATCACATTTGTAAGAGAATATGGGCACAGACACTACGTCACACACAGGCGGACATAAACAGCCTCCATGCCAGGCTTCTTCTTCTCCTTCTTCTTTTATTGTAAAGAACGCCTACACGAATTACGTTAAACGCATCAGGTTCTTAACAGGAACAAGAGGTTTCCTCTCCTCCATGGCGCCCACATCAGCTCTCGGGTCCAACCACTTCTTTCTGTCTAGTGCCGTGGTTAAGAACAAGTGGATCTACATCTCCACTCCTCAGCAGGTCTTCAGGGCGTACCGCTAAATGAATTAAACTAAAGAACAACTTTATCTTTACATCTTACCTTGTCAGACAGAAATGCAAGTCTTTGGAGAATCTGTGTTTCATTCCTTCGCATGTTTGTCTAAAGGTTCGGCGACCCAAAGCGCTACGTACGCTATGTTCGCTATACGTACAGAAAAATATCTCCCTTTATTGCCAATGTGACTGGTCACACAGACTTCGGTACGCTACGTACGCTATGTTCCCTATGTTACCTGCGTCGCAGCGTGTACTCGTACACAGCGTACGTAGCGTAGCGCTCTGTGTGGCCGAACCTTAAGTGTAAGCAGCAAGTACGTTTTCCCAATACGAGTGCACGCTCAATGTAGAATTTTTCATGCGAAATTGACAGAAGAACAATTTTGTGATTCTCTTCGGATTTTCACAGCTGTGTGTGTGTGTTACACTATGACGGAAGTTGCCTTGAGGGACCGAGAAAAGCCCTGAAACATCTGAGTCAGGATAACCAGTGTCCCTACTGAGATTCGTACTCAGGACCTACAGAATATATGTTTAAAGCATCACCAATAATTTAAAATGGCCGGTGATTCGTACTGTAATCTTCAGGGCTATGATACTGTGCAGTCTAGGAGGGCGTTACCAACATTTCGAGGAACGTGTTTTGTGCATATTCCGGTTGAAAAATGTGCTATTGGAGTGAGCATGTTCCTCTGAAACATTGGGAACCACGTACTTGAGGACAGGGAGTCATAACACGGAATGCCAAAACCCGAAGCAAGAGGCTCTCACCTTCTTCTTTGTCTTGCCACGGAGAAGCTCCTTCACTTGATAGACCTTGCAGCCGTGAGCCGGAAGTCTCCTGCAAGTCTGCACGTACAACTTCTTCAGCTGCACTTCTGACTCATACACTGAAGTATGGAAAAGCTTGCGCTTCTGCTCCTGCAAACCAAAGCACACAGACTTGAACAGGCAAGACAAGGGCTTATTAGCACGTGCACTAACTTACCCTGTTAAGGATAATTTTTTATTATGCTCGGTGGGGTGAGACTTAAGTCCACTTGGCACTGCGGCCACTAGCTGCCTATTGTACCAGCCCCAGATGATAGGTGAGGGTGACTGTGGAGAAATTGGTGGAATGAAGATTGGCAGGGGAAACCTAAGTACTCGGAGGAAACATGCCCCAGCGCCATTTTGTCCACCACGGTGGGAAGCCAGCGACTGACCGCTTGAGCTGTGGCGCGGCCCCTGTAAGGAGGAAAGTGCTGCATAATTTGCAGTGTCTGCAATAAATGTATCCAGGCGCTAAGTGCAGGCTCGTGAATGTGGCGTAACTCGTGCGCTCGTCTAGTGCTCACTTAATTCTGTCATGCTTGCATTGCCGGTTTCACTCAAGTCTGTCTGGTAGTGACCGACGATGTAGCCAACTAAACTCCTCAGTTAACTGGAGGAGGGTGAGGAACGTATCCCAGATTTGCTTCTGGATTAGTGGGGACACAAGGACCACCTAGGAAACCTAGGTGCAGGTCACGTGATGACATTAAAATGAACCCTTTGTACACACACATTTAGTCAGCCTTCTTCCTGACTACATGGTTAGACCACACACGGCCATCGCCAGGTGTTGTCTGACCTGCTGAACTGATGTGCCGATAATAACACTACATCGACACCCTCACACTGCACAAAGCCGCAAAGGCAATGCAAAATAAATCCATTTCATGTAACAGGGTGCTTAATTACAATATTAAAATGAGTCTTGAATAAGCTCAGGTGGGGATCATAGATGGGCTGTTAACAAATGGAAAATAATTTGTCGGCTAGCTGAAAAGCATTCTTCTGCGTGATTATTTTATCTGCACAAATATTGCAGAAGTTTAATTGCAGGAAATTTTAACTTCCGTAGTCTGATTGCAGTACATTAAGTTACTTTATTTTGAATTATTAACATTCAGTTCACGCTATTGCAATTTCAAACCAAGCAGTCAGAGTCAGAGTCAGAGTCAGAGTCAGAGTCACGTTGCAACTGACGGTCAGTCAGTCAGTCTGTCTGTCTGTCTTGGTGTCGAGCCCCAGCTATTTCTTTTGAATGAAAGTTACTGTCTTGTCTATGTGTAGCGCCCTCTCTGACGAGAGGTCGGGTCTGTCATTTGTCAGTCAGTCTGTAGTAATTAGTCCATTGTCTGTATTTACACATATTTACAATACACACTTATTTCTTATTTAAATGTACAATATATATACGGCCTCTGTCAGTCCAGGCTAGGTACAGCAAATTATGCCCTTTTATATATATATATCCTAGTAGTATTCGCTACCACGGCAGTCTAGTCACTTGAACGGGCGTATGCCTGACCGCCGCCAAGTTTAAGCCTCGTATACTTTCTGTGTCGGACTTCGCCTTGTCCGATGTTGCGAACATTCTCATTATCATGATTTTGTATGACTTCTGCTTGTTTCCTGCATAATTTTGTTATGTAATCATATACGTACGGGATTTTGAATGCCATGTGCAAATCGCGGACCGGTGTGCGCCTTGGAAAATTGCCAATCTTGCGGAGAACCTTGTTTTGCAGGCGTTGCAATTTCACTAGATGAGTGTCTGCCGCAAACTCCCAGGCGGGACTAGCATAAGTCATTACGGATCTAATAAGAGCTTTGTGGAGGGTCAGTTTAATGTTAGCGCTCAATCGCTCATTTTTGAATAGGGAATACACTCTAATGAATGTTCTGAAGGCCTTGGCTTCGATCATTTCTATGTGTAATCTCCAAGTCACTCTCTTATCGAAGATTACACGTAGATATTTTGCACTATTTACAAATGGAATATTTCTTCCATTTGTCAAAGCGCTGAAGGAGAGGAAAGAAAATGTGGAGATGCGTGACTTAGATTAACCAATAGCATGCGAGATCCCTCGGATACGACAAAAGATCAACTGCAACAATCATTTTCACACGCGTTCGGGCAACTGGCCATTAAAGGTGGCCAGTTTAGGACTAAATCGTTTTCAAATCTCAAACAAACATGAACTGGTTAAAAATACGGAACAATTACTGGCCTGTAATTATCAAACTGACACCACGAACTGCCCATGTAAACATAACATGGCCGGCTAAACGACAGTCCTGATAATGTTTCCGCAAAATGGCCACGATCCGTGCTGCCCGTCTGCCCGCTCATCTATCTCTCTACATATACGTACTTATCTAATTCTATGGCTCTACAGCCTTTTCTTGCACCTCGGCAGCCTCTTCAGTTTCTTAATCTTTTACACAGTCTGCAGGACTCCTTAGCCGGGGGATCAACCCATCGCAAGGCCGCTACCAACATACACAGTACAGTAGAAACAGAAAATAAAAGCAAGATCCCAGTGTTTTAGCGGGCGAAGAGAGTTCATTCCTTAGACCACGCAGCCGCTACCATCGGCCATTCTGGCAAATGCTTGGGCATTATCTAAAACAGACCGCTGCCACCACTACTAGCAGAAAGCCTAGCATGTCCCTTTAAAATGTTCTGACGGTGAGATGGAATTTCTATTTATTACAGAAACAAATTATTTCACGTGAGGGATGGGTAACAAACAGTCTTCTGTTTCAGTGGTCGCATCTGATCTCTTGGCAAAGGTAGAAGGTAAAGTTGTCATGAAGGCGTATGAGGTAGTGGATGTATAGCTCCACATCTTCTTGGCCTCGGCACTAGTTGGAGATTGATATTTTGATCTGGCTCTGTAAAATGTAGCGAAATGTAATGTTACTTTATGAAGATCTGGAAAGTTGATTTCCTTTGTAGAGCATTCTCATGTCCATCAGGACCGATACGGTCGACTTGAGTCCTCGGCATTAGTCTGCTTTATTAATGAAACATACAGATTCAATTACGGGCTTCTCTTGAGTAGGAAAGCCTGTATCAAGTAATATTCCTGTATTCATACTGTGACATGATGCAGAAAGCCAGAACAGTTCACTGCTAGGCAACAGATCGATAAACAGGTTCCCGCGGAAAGGAACACGCACGCAATAGAAGAAGCCGTTTCTAAGCAACGGAACGGGAAACACACAGAAATAGGGGTATTGATGGAAATTTTGTTTTCTGTTCGGTCCGTGCAAAGTGGTTGTAATGAAGAGTTCAGCTGAGAATAATTGAGTTCCCGAGTTCCAAGTGAGCAGTAGGTCGAGAGCTGGAGAAGCTGAGAAGACGGCGCCATGAGGTCAGGTGTGGAGTGTTAAGCAGCGGGCAAAGGCGTGAGCAATTTCCTGCAGTTCCAAATAAATAAATCCAAACCCAGTCCAACAGGCCTCCAAATCGTGACAATACTTTCACCTCGCCGTTAGTTTCAACGGCCAGTTTTCTGCGAAACCAGTAAGAACTAAACCATTCCATCAAGATGAAGAATGCGCGTGGAGGTGCAGAACTGACTGCCGACATGTCTGGAGCCTCCTTATCTGACATGAACAAGATTATCACGCCGTTTCAAGTGCGGTTCATTGCTATTGATTTCAGTTCTCTCCCTCCCTGCAAGAGCGGCTCGCCCCGCCAGCTGTCATGCGAGTCTCCGGCCTCGTTCTCAGAACCAAGACAACAGACTTCATCAGCATCACAAGTCGTCTTGTGGGGTGTGGCGCACTGCCTCCGAAACGTCTACCAGATAGACGTCGTCATATCTCAGAAAAGAACTCAAATTCGAGGGGTCCATTCTCAGGCACCACGACTGAGTTTCTTGTGCCCTTCCTCGGCCTCTCAGACCGGATGCCGGTAACAAGGGTAGAGTGAGACATGCTGCAACTATGGCCTTGGAAAAATTTTGCTGACATTTTCCAAGAGTTTATTCCTTTCAAACGGGCCCCAAAATACAAAATGGCGATTTCCTCAAACATCGTTTCGCTGATTGGACGGATTTCACTGACATTCTCTGTTAGCAATCAATAATAGTCTGCTGATCAACAATCGACTACGTTTACAAGTTAAATCTGTTCATGTCAGTGGTACACGAGAAAGTACATATGTGGGATGCCTATATACAGTGATTTTTTTTTAATTCGCTCAGTGGGGGTAGAGTCCAACTGGGTTCACTCGGCACGGCGGCCACTGATTGGCCGATTGTAGTCTGCCCCGGGTGATCATGATGGAGAATTTGGTGGAAAGAAGATTGGCAGGGGAAACCAAAGTACTCGGAGAAAAGCGCCACTTTGTCCACCACAAATCCCACTTGACCAGACTCGGGATCGGGAAGCCAGCGACTAACCGCTTGAGCTATGGCGCGGCCTTATACTATACAGTGTTAGTGTGAGCTCGTGCGTGTGTGTGTGTGTGTGTGTGTGGGGGGGTAGAGAAGGCTAGGCAATACAGCGCTATCGCTGATCTACACTCTTTAGAGTTCAACGTTACACACATAATAGGATTCTCAGTCTTCACTAGTCGTATCCTGGCAACGGATTTATAACAGTCTCACTATCATTTCAAATCCTTTCTTGTCATTATTCTGCAGCTGGCAATTCGAAGACTGGACTGAGGTCAACTTCTCTGCTCTGAGACTCACATCCCAGCAAAGTCAGCTTCTCGACTACTGTTCTACACCGCCGAACACTTCCTTATAACCACTTTGCAGGACCCCACGGAAAGGACAGCCTCTGTTGTTACGAAGGCGTGCTTACTGATTCCTTGACTAGCAATGGATGCCCTATTCTTCGTGTGTTGGCTCGCGCGGGAACGTGGTTACGAGCCGTTGCACAGCAACGGGTATACATGTCCTAATATATTACTAAATTGTCATCAATAGTAACAACGTCGCGGAGGATGAAAGTGACTTTTATACAGCAGCATTCTTCAGGAAAAGTTCAAAGGAACATCGTGGTGAATCTGTGGGATGTTTTGAGGATGACCGCGTGCTGCTTGACACATTAAATTTGTAGGGCGGTATGAAAACACCTAACAAAGTTTACAA